TATATATATATATAAACAAACTGCTGGGTAGAGCCAAGCCGCAGCTTCCAGGTATTTCAGAGTAAGTAAAAAGATAGAGATACTAACCTGAAATTGTCCCTTATGGATGCCAAAAAATGTTTATTCCGTGGCTGAAACAAAGTTTTATTTTAAATGCCTCTAACTACCACATAAATACAAAATAAGTAGAATAAATCAGTATAAATCATAAATAACATTAATAATAACAATAAATTAATCTGTTATGTTACTAATAGCAAAAAAATAGCATAATGAATCAAAATAAAATAAAGATAAAATAATGAAAACATAGACACAAGTTAAGATCAGTTTTTGCCATGTTAAATGTTTAACACATCTATAGTTGTGGACATGTTCTAGGGTGGAACGATCGTACAGCATACATCTTTAATAACTTTAGAAAACGAGAATTTTGTGCACAAGTTTGTATTTATTTGGGATTTTCTCTAATCCACACAGGGTTAAAAGTATACATACAGGCTCAAATATATACATACACTCCCACTAAATGTTTCTTAGGATGTTGCACCTTGATTGGGTGGTAGCCATCAACAAGCTCCTGGTATAATTGTGGCTGATATTTGACCAGTCTTCTTGGCATTTCATTAACGTTGGTTGGTTTCTTGGCACAGACTTCTTGTAAGATCCGGAATCAAATGTGAAATGCTGCTCCTCACACACAAGGTCTTGAATATTTAGGCCTTGTCTTATCTTAGAGACCTCATAGTATCATATCACCACAGTAGAGCACTTTTCTCACAGACTGCAGATTTACTTGTGGTTCCTAGAGTATTTAAAAGTAAAGTTGGAGACAGAGCCTTCTGCTTTCAGGCCCCTCTTTCTGTGGAACCAGCTTCCAGTCTGAGGAGCTCTTTCTTTTCCTTTTGTTTCCTTTCCTTTTCCTGAATGTCTCTTTCTCCGAAAGTGTGTCTTTGTCCCGTCTTCATCTCCTCACTCCCATCTGGTCATGCTGGTTCTGCTGGAGGTCCTTCCTGTTAAAAGGGAGTTTTTCCTTCCCACTGTTGCCAAAGGCAAGGGGTTATGTAGTTTTTGTGGTTTCTCTCTATTATTATAGGGTCTTTACCTTACAATATAAAAGCTTATTAAGATGACTGTTGTTGTGATTTGGCGCTATATGAAAAAAATTCAATAGATTTATTATGGATGTCAGTTTTTATTTCTGTTATGAGACCAAACAGGTGAGCGTCCCGTAATTTCTATAATGATGCTGAAATGGACAGAAAAATGTCAAAGTAAAATACAGAATTTAAAAAAAAAGTATGTATGCCAGTTGGAAAAAAAACAACGATCTTCCAAATATAGAAAAAAAAAAGAATAAGTCCTAATTAGTTGTATCAAAAATAGTATAAATTAGAATTAAATAAATTAAATTCTGGATGATTTTTGAAGTGTATTATGTTTTTTTGTTTATTTACGTAATTGGTTCCTCCACAGATATACACTGTCATGAATCATCTTTCTTTAAAATCATGAAATTCAGCTATACTAAAAGTTAGCTTACTGTCCATCAAATACATAAGTAAATAAATAGAAAAAACATAAAAGAAAATACAGACTAAAAAAAAAAATAGAAAAATCTTGGAGATAAAAAGCAGTACAGAGATGAGGTGCTGTGTTTTCACGTAGCAGCATATTAATTGATTTTTGTGTAATTTTAATTTACATTTGCTCTCTTTTGGACCTCCGTACAAATACAGTGAATGAAAATATGAGTGTCAGAATTTTGAGTATAAATTAACTCTATCATCAGGAGAGGGGGCTGCAGGACAGCCACAGTGGAGGGTTTATAATTTCATTATTTTTAGAGGCAACTCATTAAGAAAATATATAAAGATGCACATAGTTGCTGAAGATCCAGCATGATAACCAGCTGGCCGATCATTTCTTCCCCTCGGAGCAGCTCTGACACCAGCCTGTCTCCTTAGAGAGCTTCCATAATCATAAAATGCCTCATTGCCCCTGCAGGACAGAGTTGCCCCACTTGTTTCTGTTCACGGACAATTTGCTGAAGCTACCGGCGGCGTTCAGGCCGTCGCTCTGCTCAGCTGACTGGTTGTCAGCACTAGCGTGCCTCCCCCGGAGGTTAATCCAAGTCTGAGCCAAGCTTCGGCTTGTTCTGTGAAGATCACTGTGTGAATTTTATCTGCAGCGTGAATCTTGGTGAGCAAGCAGGTTCATCGTCTTCCTGAAAAACTCAACGCTTTTGAGGAACTCAGTGACTTTTCTCTATTAGGCAGCTTAAAGGAGCTTTGTTTACGTGTCAGGGATCGTATATAGACAGCACATTTAGCTTCCAGGTGATTTCCATCTGCAGTTCCTGGACAGCTACACACAATATTAAATATCCTGTATCATATAAAACCTTATAAAAGAGAGTAATATAAGAAGATATGCAAAGAAAGTCTAAAAATCCTCCAGCCATACTCCCACAAAACACATTGTAAAACCTTCACATAGCCACACTCATCAGTTTATTTCCATAATAGGGATTGATTATTGGGTTAGTTTTTCAGCATTTCAGGGTTCTTGTGGGTCATTAAATAGCAGTCTCCAACATCCAGCAAACCATAAAAATGTAAAGATCTGTAGTTTAATCTGTAATATCTGTTGTTTTGTTGCTGATCAGGCAGTTTGATTAAGGACTCAGTTTGGCTTTTTACCTGCAAAGTTTTTGATTGTGACTACAGTCTGTCTCGTTTGTGACTCTGCCCCTCTGTAGGCCTAAACTACAACATCGCCAGCTTTTTCTTCAATTCTAGAATGTTTTTATTCACATTCTGAACTAAAATACTGCAGGTGGGAGTCACCAGACACCCCACATGATATGCGATATTTAACTTTTTGTGATATGCTGACTACTGCAGAAACACACACTGTGATTTATCACTGTTTTGCTCTCCAAATTATGTCCTCAAATTAACCTCAGTCAGTATCTGTTTTATACAGTAAGATAAAGTTATCTCACTTCTAAATGAAATTACTGGCAAACTGTTTCTGACAAAATGGCAATGTACTGATAAATCATGGAAAATCACATATCTGTTGCTGTCTTACATTTTGGCCCTCCGATAACCAGAATACAACCAGTCGAGTTGTGCTCATTCACAAAGACTGGTCCAGATTAATGGCAACGGCATCTGTCGGCATTTAAAAACTAGACGGCAATTATTTGCGCTCTCTCTGAGAGTGATTGAAATAGTCCAAGTCAGACTGCAGCTGTTTGCAGAAAGGTTGCACAGGTCTCCTGTTAGAAGGCAATCACCCTCAAGAAAAACCTTAATACATCCAGGAAGCAAGCTTTTTTTTCTTCTTTTTTGTAGATGTAAACAGGTTGCTGTCCTATGTTTAGCTTGCAACATGAAATATTCGTGCACGCATTCACTCTGATGGATGCATCTGGGGCGACTCAGTGTCTCACCTGAGGATACTTCGACATGCAGACCACCTTCTTACACGACCACCCCACAGCTGTTTATTAAGACATAACAGTATTACATATTTATTAGTCAGGGTTTCTTCAGTCAGGTTGTTGGATTGTTTTGTTAGAGTTCAACACATAAGATGTACATCCTGGTGTTTGTTGCTTTCAAACACTGAAGTCTGAAAAGAAAAGACAGACAGGCTCAGCCTGAGCTGCACGCTGACTCTGAGGGCTCTGAGGCCGTGCTTCAGCTAGTAAGGGCTCAGAGCAGTATGCGATGCAGAGGAGCTCATCCTGCCTAAATCATGTCTTTGCTTTTTAATTCTTTATTTATTTTAAGCACCGTGAGCTGGCGTGCCGCCCAGCAGATGTCAGGGCCTCGAGCAGATGAGTCAGTCGCATAGATCGATTCGTGCAGCGCCACCTCTCTCTCAGCGCTTCCAGTCTAATGTCTGCCTCCGCCCTCTCCAACCCACCAGCAACAATTTGTCATGATGCCTGTGAGGCGGTGAAACCAGCGCCATCGATCAGATTAAATAAATGCAGCGGATACTGACGGCTCAATTCACACAGAGACCTCCGCCTGTCAGTGCGAACACCTCGGGCCCCGACTTCAAGGGAGTCGCACCATCTGATGGTGGGCTCAGAGGGAGACTACGATGGTGGTGTATTAGTGTTAGGGCCTGGTTGAAGAAAACAATGTAATGTGAGGGTGAAATTCAGAGGAAATATTTATATAAAAAATATAAATATATTTTTTTTCCTCATAATTTTGTGAGTTTCTTGCAAATTTTGGTTTGATAAATGCTCCTAATTTTTCTTGTAAAACTTAGATATAGACATGTCTTTGAATTTTTAGCCTTTTTTAGGCAGGATAGTTCAGCGAGGTGACAGGAGAGCAGGCAGAGAGCTCACCTGCTTATTCAGGTGAGCCATGGTGGTGCATAATTTTTCTGCCTTTTCCCCTCATATCTGGCAGTTTCTTTGTCATAAATTTTATTTCGTTTTTTTCTCACAAATTTGCCAGTAAATTCTTGTTAATTTGCAGGGTTTTTAAAACTTTTTAAAACATAATGTGGGTGAGTTACATCTGTTTAAACAGCTGCCTTAGCATTGATGAAAAAGGTTTGAAGCATTTGTGTTAGTAGTGCCAGGTAAAATACTGATCCTGTGGGGGTCTAGGCACAGAAAGGTCACGTGTGAAGGAAACGTCTCCAGATTCCTGCCTCAGTTCAGTTAGATGCCGTTTCGATGACTCTTCTGGAAGAGGCTCACTCATCTGCAGTGCAGGAGAGAGTTTTGTGGAGTGGCTGCTGCTGTTTCAGCTTCTGTTCGCGTTGACCTTTAAAAGCAAACAGAGCGAGAGGGGGGGAGGGAGAGCGTGAGCGAGAGTACTAATGAGACCAGCTGAGGTAGATTAATGAGACCATCCAGATGTTCCAGTGTCCACCTCTAACCTGCCTGTGTTAATGATGCTCCCACAGGGGAAGTCTCTCACTCAAGAAGGGCCCTCTTACTTCACTATTATTTGGTTACAGTGTCATGTTCATTTCCAGTGTTACACGGTTAAAATCCACCAGCAGCCATTTCTGTTTCAGTTTTAGGCCAAATGTTTATTTATGTGGAAATGGCTGTTTGCTTTCGATTAGAGCTGAGACCTCTGGCTCCCAAGCCGGCTGGGACTCATCTGTTTCAGTGGTGGGAAAAAGTATAGTGGTAGTAGTACTACTCAGTCATAGTAGTCATTTCAGATTATACTATTCGTTTGTATGTCTCATAGTGCATTTCAATGCTGCATGTTTTTAATGTGATTCACTGTGAAACGCTACATTTAATGTCACAGCTTCTGTTTTATTTCTTGTCCTGACAGCAGCGTGATCTGAAGACGTGCTCTGTGCTGATCATATGTGTGCTCGCTGTTACTGTTTCAGTTTAATGCCACTGTTACTAATTCAGTGTTATCCCTCTTCACTCTCTCTGTCTCCCTGTTGTTGATCTTCTTGTTTTGCATTTGTAAGTATCTTTCTATTTTGTCGTTTTAGTATCTTTTTCAAAAGTTTTTCAAAATAAAATCCAGTAGAAGTAGAGGTTTTCTACGGAAAGCCAACAACTGCTTTTACTTAGACATGACCTCACTTCCTCCCAGTGGGTGCGCTTCAGTCCCTCTCTATTCTACCTCACCCTCCATCCTTCCATCCTGTCTTCCTCCTCTTCCTCAATCACACACTCTCTGATGTGTATTCCTTCCTCACCAGCAGCCTGCATTAATGCGGTGAGAGGTGGAGCACGATGCAGCGACCCCGACATGCTAACCCAGACAGCGTGTGAACTGTTTGTAGTGCTACTGCTGCGTTCCACTGATGCTGGAAAGTCAGAGCTTCCTCCTAAGGAACTGTTAAGGAGTCAGATTTTCAAGTATGGGGCAGTATTCCTCTGAGAGGTGCAACCTAATGTAATCTATTCAAACAGACACACTTTTAAACTATATGTACTCCTCGCTGAGACTCCCTGACTTTTCACCCTGAGTGGAACTTGGCACAAAAGCTATAAATCTGACTTCAACTCGCTGCCAGTGTTTCCTCTCTTGGTTTCTGCAGCAGTGGTGCTCAGGAAAACCCCCGTTCACGACTGTTATTTCAGTCTAAGTCACTCCGTGTTTCTCACATATTCAGGAGCTATGTGTGTATGTCAGAGATGCTCCAATCCAGCCTTTTTTACTTCCCTGGGAATCATTCTTTTATATTTAAAACCACACGAGACTCGACAAAGAAACATTGGTTTTCTCCCCTTTTGAATATAGTACATCGATAAATAGAAATTATCAGGAGGAAATCCTTTTTATTTTAGTTGGAAGGACAAACTATAGTTTCAGCAATTCAGACTCAGTTTAATTCAGTTCTATAAGTGCAGTCATCACAAGGACGAAAGCAGCTTGAAGTAAAAAGCACTGTTGCTTAAATAAAGTCTCTGGTTTCTCCTTTACTGTGAGTGCCCCTCCTTGCACAGAGTGGAGTAGACACTGATTGGAAGCTTTTATGCTAATGGTAATGTGACATGTTGTCTCCATCAAATGTTGCATTTGATGGAGACAAAGAGTGAGCGCAAGAAGCTGAGAGTGAAAGCTTCTGTTAATTGTCCATTTCCTCTATTAGATGTTGTAATGTTCTGATGGTTGCTGCTGCTGCATGATTCCAGAGGAAACTGCTGATGCTGAAATTATAATCTGGTACATTTCTGCTCTCATGTATCCAAACTTGGCTCCTTTTCTTTATTTCTGGTTGGCTGCTGAGAGGAGCCGCCTGCCAACTCAAGTTTGACCTTCAGACATCCTCTCCTAGCACCAAGCCGCCCCCATGATGCATTGCAGGTCATCGTGAGCACCCAGAGCTTTGTACAAATCCAATTTGGTGTTGGTATGAATCATAGCAGAGAGCCTGCTGTGAACCGTTCGTCCCGTCTGCCTCCTGACACGCTACTAACCTTCCTCCCAGAGACGACTTCCTGTGGACACTCTGCTCCGAATACCAGCCAGGAAACGGGTGCTAGATGCTCAGGTTTCCTTGAAGTGGACATTTTCTGCTCTGATTTCGGTCACGTGTGCGATGTTTCACACTCAGGTAGTTTTTTCTACTCATGGCTCTCAGAGAGGATAATCCTTAATAAGGCCATCTGAGCACAGAATCCCCACCCACCTCCTGTCCAGAACCTTATATTTGAGAGGGACAGGAAGTCAGAAGAAAGTTGTCTAAAAAGGGGAGGAGCTAAAAAAGCTTGTTTTAGACAGGGGGGGAACTGAGGGGCTGCAGTATAATTTAAAGAAGGATTATTTTGAACTATGAATCATCCAGAGCTGCTCTTGTAAAGACCAAGAATTAAAAAAACATGGAGATGGACATGAGCAGAATCAGTTAACTGTGATGATTTTTACCTTTTACTAAAAACTCTGTGACCAAAGTGCCAAAAAACTGACTTGTAGCCACAGCTAAGACCTTGTCCCTGGTTAGGCTTTTAAGACGCACCATATCAAATATAAAATCAGACAGTTATAATACACAAACTAATACAAATAGAAACATTAAAAAAATCTTTAATGATCATAGATTTTCTTTTGTTTAAACTATAATCTTCCATTTACATTAAAAATTTAGTAAGATAATGTTTCAAATCTGAGCCAATTAACTGTAAAGGACGACTAACCAAATGTTGTTGTTAATATTTAAGTATTTACAATAACTGTAGTTCCTCTTGTGTGGGACTAGTATTGGACCCCATCACTGTCTATTTGTCATTTATTTCTTTATTTGCTGCTAACTCAGCTCTGAAGGATAAAAATGGAGCTCTGGTGACGCTGCAGGTCTGATGTAGGGTTTTAGCTGCCACGTCGAGTGCTAACCCATCACTCTGGTTGCGTGTGTGGGGTTGTTTTTTTTGTTTGTTTTTTGGGTTTTCTTCCAGCCACTGAACACCGTCAGCATGCCGGAGGCCTTGGCTAGTCTCCCTGTCCCAGCTGCAACAGTTAAGGCCCAGTCATCACATCCCAGACTGTGCTTTTATCCAGCTGATTGCACCGACACTGCCACCTCACACAGTGTGAATGACGAGGCCTGTAAGGGTTGTCTGTCATGAAGTGTTGGTAGTTTTTGTTGTGCTGCAGTCTCCAAACTTAAAACTAGGACAGAAATTTAGCAGTAAATTCTCTTCTTGGTTTGAAGCGTTTTTGGTTAAATTCTGTGTAAACTTGGTTAAATCTTTAAATCTTGGGTTTCGTTAGCTTGCATGGTGGGAGCTTTTCAAACACATTCCTGGCTGGTATTCAAGCAAGGTACAATTAACAATTCCTGTGGCCTCAAATTAGCATATTAACCTCCTGGAAAAGTATGTTACTAAAAGTATGGAGGTATACTTTTCCACAGGTTTTAATGCTGAGGTAAGGCAAGCTGAGGCCATGTTTTCCTTACTGTTATTACTCACTGCTTCTCCCTGCAGTGAAAAAGCGTTTTCTTCTCCCTCTGCTGCAGCCCCCCCTCCCCCCCTCCTCCTGTATGTCCACATTTCCACCACAGCTCCTCACTGTGGAGTTATTTTTCTCACCTTTCTGTCTCTGCCTGTTTATTTTTGCTTCCTGCAGGAGAAGAAAGGCGGGCATCCTGCCCAGCCTGGAGGATCTGCTGTTCTACACCATCGCAGAGGGCCAAGAAAAAATCCCTGCACACAAATTTACCACAGTGAGTTATCACAGCAGTGATATGTCTGAGAGTTGGATATTTATGGTGTCGGAACCTTTTGTTAAATAGAAATATTACTAGAAATAAATTACACAAGAGAAAATGGCCCCAAATCGCCCACAGGAATGGAGACAGAGTAACAGAGCAGATCTCACTTATTATTAAACTTCATTAGGGGAATAATGGAGAAGATTAAGTCATTAAACATTGTGCAGATTTGGATAGATCTTAGAAGTGAAATCAGGTGTTGGCTTAGAATCACACAAACTTGTTGAAGATATCTATGTAGTCTAAATTTCTCTTGGAGTGAAAGTACAGTGGTGTACTACCATTCTGCAGTGTTGGAAACCAGTTTAAAACCAGCTTGAAACAGGAACTTCGGGGTGGTTTTATACAACAGTTCCTCCCCTGGATAAATGACCTATAAAAACTGCTAACTAGATGTTGTGGTTATCGTCTTCGCTGCAGCCCATCCAGCTGCGGCAGATGGCCACTCCTCGCTTAGTTCTCCAGTTCTGCTGGAGGTTTCTTCTGTTTAAAATTCAGTTTTTCTTTCCCGCTCATTGTTCGTAGGGAGTCATGATTGTTAGGGTTTTCTCTGTATTATTGTAAGGTCTTTACAATATGAAGCGCCCTGAGGCAGCTGTTGTTGTGATTTGGTGCTATATAAATACAACTGAATTGAATCAGTTATGAAGGTGAAAAGAAGATGGGAAATCCACACAATGTTTACAAATGGATAAATAATGCTGTGGTGACTTAACTGAAAAAAGACTTTCATAAAATGTACGACAAAAAGCATTTACAGCATAGCAGCTAAATAAATGCATGTCACACATAAATTACTGACTTGTTGGCAGTGATTCAGCCCTGTAGCTTTCTGAATTATGAGCTCCTCCTGTCAGGCTCTGGAGGAATCACAGCTCGCAGCTTTATTGATTTTTGTTGTCAGGCTGTCTTAATCCTGGTGTCTCTCTCCTCTCCTTGCACAGGCTCTTAAAGCCACAGGTCTTCGCACGGGAGACCCCCGGCTGAAAGAATGTATGGAGATGCTGAAGGTGACCTTGAAGACAACCTCAGATGGAGCGCTGGACCGACACCTCTTCAAAAAGTATGCCTGTCTTTAATTTACTGAGCAACGATGGATTGATATGCTCGAGCAGGAGTTTTCTGCACTCTCATTTAACAAACTGCAGCCTAATTGGCTCCGTAAAATTTAATAAAAGATCCAGATGTGCAGTTTGAGTCAAAAGCCAGATGTTGGATTTTACTGTTATGTATAAGAAGACAGAACCTTGCATTATTGAGACTATATGGATATTCTTTCTATATATTTATAGATTTTGTGTATCCCGTGTTTAATACCCTGCCTGCTGTCCCACCTTTATGACCAGCATCAATGTTTCATCACAAGAATTATTAAAGCTGGTTAGAGTCCTCTGCTTGTCCCTGCAGCAGAACAGGGTCACCGCTTGCCATTAATCATTCATCATCCCTCGCTTTGCACGTCAGCAACCTCATCTTCAGGTTTTCATCACCCAGAAAAATCTGCTCATGGAAACTGGTAGACTTCAATAACTGGAAATCAAATTGATAATTAGGAGATTCATAGGTGAAGATTTGGAGTAGATTTGGCGCAATCTGATTGTGTTTCAGTGTTTGGAGGTTTAATTTTGACACTGGCTGCTTATTCTGAAAGGGGGAAGAAAAACAAGGTGTTTTTAGTTTCCACTTTGCATAAAAAACTTAACAATGTTCCTTGTAATCTAACTCAGAATGATGGTGCACTTGAAAAGTCCACAAGTTTACCTCCTGCCTCCTTTTCCACATGACTTTACTTTGACCCGAGGACTGAGGAACAGGGAAAAACGGCAGTGCTCAGAGAATACAACTGCACTCGATCACGGCCGATATGTTCTGTGATGGTGGATGTTGCTGACTTGGGTCTGCAGGGGGCCATCACACGACCATCAAATTCATGTTTATTTGGTAATCAGAACATTTTTAGCCACCCAAACCTGTTGTTGAAACACAGCTGGAGAGGAAAGAAAGATATGTGGAGTAAAATGACATCCCCACCTCCACCCTCACCCCCTTGTGTCATTGGATCACTGCTGTGTGACCCCCACCACCCTCCTGGAGGAAACGACAGTGAGACAGAACTGGGTGGCAGCTTGGTGAGATCAGGCATATGATGGCTCACCGGGGAGCAAAAAATCCTCACTGAACAGACCCCGAGCCGGCGCTCCTGGCTGGCGTCCATCACTTCCGCGCCCTGGGCTTATTTATAGAACCTCTCAGAGGGAAGCACGTGAGCGGGCGGTGGAGTGTAGCGTGTGTTTTCTCTGCAGGGATTAGACCGCTCGGATGCAGTAAGATAGCCAAGCTGTAAATCTCTCTGCTAACGGAGAGCTTCTATCTCACCGCCTTGTTACGTGGAGCTGTGTTTACTACGAGGTCTGCATCCATAATCGCTCGCATAAAAAGGCCCAGGACAAAATCTATAAGTGGTAAAAAAAAGCCAGACCATGCTGCTTTAGGGGTGATCTAGAGTACAGAACATGTTGGGAAAAGGAGTACCTATTTTCTTTTATTGTGTAATTTTAATTCCATGCTGCGAGGGAACAAGTGGGGATCTTTTCCTAAAACTACAGCAGCCGCAGCGAAAGGTCAACAGAGTCGGCCGAGTCGAGCTGAGGATACAGCTCTCCCAGAACGCTTACTGGAAAATTTTAGCCTGGAAATAGAAGCTTTGAACCAGAAAAGCAAATATAGTCAGGCCCGTCTGTACACCAGCACCACAGTCGGTCTTTGAAATGCACACTTTCAGCTTTAACTCAAGGGATTTAATAAAAGTATTTTATTAACTCTTTTTTATAAATTAGACTTTTTCTTTCTTTACACAATTCTTTTTTTTTTTACAATTTTTAGATCCTCAAAAGTACTTGGACAATTGACTGACAAGCCCGTCAGCCTTTTATAAGGTTTATAAAAAGATGCAAACCACTGGTTACACTCAAAAAAAGCAAGGCCAGATTAGACTTTACCAGAGAATATCTGAAAGAGACTCCACAGATCTGGAAACAAATGTTTTAGAGAGATGAAACCAAAATGAGCTTGAACCAAGGAAACTGCTCCTGGTCTGAAGCATATCTGTCAAACATGGTGGAGGTAGTGTTATGGTTATGGGCATGTATGGCTCCCAGTAGAACGATGATGATGTGCCTGCTGACAGAAGCAGCAGGATGAATTGTGACGCATTCACGGCTATACTCTCTACTCAGACTCCTCAAGTTTAGGTGTTATTAAGAGGAAACGAGCTGAGCGAGGGAGCGCAGACTCACTGTATTTAGTCTTATCTAGTGTTCAAAAATCAGAACATTCCCTAATTATATCTAATGTTATATTTAGTAATGCGTGACCTTAAAAGCTTTGTGTCCATTAACTAGCTCCATACTTGTCATTAAAGTCTCAGAGGATTTGAAGCAGTCATAAAGGTCAATAAGGACATTCTGTACTCCTCAGACTAAATATTTCTCTTTCCTGCCTCAGATGTGTCCAGAGCAACATCGTTTTGCTCACCCAGGCCTTCAGGAAGAAGTTTGTTATTCCAGACTTCCAGTCCTTCTCTGCTCACATCGACGAGCTGTACGAAAACGCCAAAAAAATGTCTGGAGGGCAGGTCAGTGAGAGCAGAGCTGAGTAGAACTGTATCTAACCGTTCTTTATAGACCAGTTTTAACGTTGTGAGTCATTTGTCTGTTTGTCGAATACTTTGTGACATTAAATAACAGCCAGGACAAGATGGTTGGGAGTGAGGAATGGGTCAGATTAAACCTCATTGTTTCTTCACCCTGTAGGTGGCAGACTATATTCCCCAGCTGGCACGCTTCAGCCCAGACCTGTGGGCCGTCGCCCTGTGCACAGTCGACGGACAGAGGTATTCTGACTACGTGTAGAAGAACCTACAGAGGATGGTTTCTTCACCAGAAGCTTTGTAGTAAATGTATTTTTCACAAGTGGCTGTCAGATATGAGAAAATGGGGATGTGGTAAAAGCCAGACTTATCATTACGTAGATTTAGAGAGATTTTCTATTTCCTCTGACTCTGAAAAACTACTAACATACACCTTAAGAGTTTGAAGGTATAAGTGTATAAGTGATACACTTGTGTCTTTCGCAGGCACACTGTCGGCGACACCAAAGTTCCCTTCTGTCTGCAGTCCTGCGTGAAGCCGCTGAAATACGCCATCGCCGTTCACGACCACGGCACAGAGTACGTACATCGCTTCATCGGCAAAGAGCCCAGCGGCCTGCGCTTCAACAAGCTCTTCCTGAACGAGGACGGTGAGGAATCGGTCACTTCACACCTTCACATGGCGCACAGGTGCATGCAGTCTCTGTAAGAGGAGCCATTCACGTGGCCTGGTTTCCATGGTGCCATGATAAATTGTTAAGGAGCGTAGCTGGATAAAACAAAGTGGGCAGTGTGTAACGGAGACAGAAAAAACCTGAAACACAACAAGCTGTTGGCATGTGGTTCCTTAAAAAGCAGGCAGAACGGAGCAGCCGAGACACAGAGGCGCTCTTTTAGTATCAGTCCTGCAGTGCAGGGGAATCAGAGCGTGGTTTCCCACAGGTCTGAAATACACCGAGGATGTCAGGCGATATCAGTTATCTCAATATAGAGCAGGTCATTTGTTCTTCGAGCACAGTGGGCCTTATGAGCTCAAAAAAACACTTTATTTCTGGACTCTACTTGAGTAACTTTGCATCTTGCACAGTTCAGAGTAATCCTCATACAGCTGTGGTCAGAAGGTTCCGTTCACCTATCGTGGGCATTAATGTCATGGAGATTTGGGGTTTTGGTTGAATCATTGTGAAGCATACGCTTTTAATCAATTTAAAAAAAACAAGAAATGAGTGAATAAGTTTGAATTTATTTTAGATTGGATGGCGTGTTTAGGTGCTCAACCGGGAGTGTTTAGGGAAGCCATATGTTGACTGTTGTTGTGTGTTTGTACTTTGCACATATCACATGTTTAAAACACTCCTTCCATTCCTTGTTCATATGTTTGTTTGTTTTTTTGTTTTTTATGGTCTGTCTCTGGTTTTATATCTGTGAGATTATTCTGGTTTTGTTTGCTTGGATAAGAGATGTTGACAAAGTTTAACTTTGAGGATTTTATTTGCAGTTGAACAAAGCTTATACATTGGAACACATGTTGCTGCAATACTCACCATGTCGAAATGTTAAAGAGCAGTAACTTGGTGAAGTGAAGTAATGTCATATGTTGAATACAAATACGGTTAGCAGTTTTTGTTCAACCTGAATAGAGTTGGGTTTTATTGTGTCTGTAGCTTCTCTGAGCGGAAACTGGTGTGAGAACGTTTCCAGGTTTCCTCTCTTTGTTGTTATCAAACCGAGCAGAGAAGTCTGTGGTGGCACAGATATTCCAGCTGTTTATTTTCCCTTTAAAAAAAGTGAAAAGAAGGAAACATGGCTCTTCCTGTTGCTTACGACGATTACAACTCAGAGGGGAAGTGTTGTAATTGTGCCCTATATGTTTTTTTTAGTTCACTCAGTAGATTATTCACTTGTGTTTTGATCTCTGGCACAAAAAGGCTTCCCTTCTTTTTCTTTTACTGTATACTTTTTGAGAAAGTAAACAGTAAGTCACAAATTACTGTGTTCCCAAGTTGCTTTTCCAAGGGCTTGTAGAACAAAGAGGCGGAGCTTGCAGTATCTGGCTAATCAGAAACATGAGCAGGACTACCATCAGCAGAGTGGCCAATTTTTAAAAAGAACATCAAACAATATAATACGGAATAATAAACTGTGGACTCTATCAGCTTATATACAACAGAGTAGTATGTGGCTGTGATGTGCTCAGTGAAGGTGTTCCTGTAGCATTAGCTTGCTAAAACCTGCTCTTATTAACTTCTATTTCCTGTCCTGCAGATAAACCACACAACCCCATGGTTAATGCTGGTGCTATTGTCTGCACCTCCCTCATTAAGGTAAGCTTTTATTCTACATATATTCACTGTGGAAGCAAATGTTCAATCACAACCCCGTAAATTTGATTTGAGGCCCCTGTGATTTTTGCTTCGTTATCATTTTATAAATCCACATATGTAGATTTACGTTTTACTCCCCTAAAGATGATTTTTCTGGATGTCTGACTGGAGCAGGGAGTAAAATAGTTGGAGAGAAATTGAATGGAATAAAATTATAATCGTGTGCAGAACGTGTTTCCGCCAGATTAGTGTATACAGGGAGATTAAGGTTATAGATAATCATGCTGAAAGGGGATTTGGTTGAAAGCGGCATCGCTCGGAGATCCTGCGCACACACACTCCACAGAGTGGGTGGAGCTGGAGAGCAGGTCAGCTCCACCACATTTAATCAGAGAACTCTTCTATTACCCGAGAGTTTCATTAAATATCCTCCTCTGACCTGCGTACAGACGCACAGGGAGCTGGGGTGAATACAAGAGCACCACCTGCTGATTGAATCAAAATTAAAAACTCCTTCCTCATTTGGCCGGTGAGGATGAGTCCAGGAGGGCTTTTTAGAGAGGAGTTTAATTACATTCAATAAGAGAGAGATGGAACGCAAAATCAAACAAGTTGGAAAATCTTCAGGCAAATCCTGGAAGTGAACATGTTGGAGTGCTTGTAGGAAACAGCATTGAATATTTTATTTTTCCCAAAAGCTGGAAAATGGTTAAAGCAGCCAAAAATGTCTGGCTTACTAAAACAAATACAGTATTGCAACAAAATGGCTGAAAAGGTGAAGAAGTATTTCCATTACACAGAAAATAGAAATAGACAGAGTGAGGCTGCTAACAGTGCAGTGGTTTATAAATTAGCAGGTCAAAACTGAGCAAATGTGATGAGGCAGATACAGGGTGAAGGTATGTTTTATGCATGTTTATCTCCAGAAACAGCACAGCTATTCAGATCAAGGACAGGCAGCTGAGTGAGAACACATCTGAGGTCAAACTCCTCAAACTGTAATAGCTGACTTGCAGGATAACACAGCAGCCTTTGTTACCATCAGATTTTGACCCAACACTGTGAAAAAGTGTTCGTCCTGTTCCTGATTATCTATTGTTTTGTATGTTTGTCACACGTAAATGTTTTAGATCATCAAACAAATTTAAATGTTAACCACAGATGACACAATTAAACACAAAATGCAGTTTTTAAATGAAGGTGTTTGTTATTAAGGGGAAAAAGTGATTGCCCTCTAAACCTGGTGCTGAGCAACAACTCTAAATGTGCCAAAGCTCCTATTTCTGCCAGCTCTGCGAGGCCCCAGATACAATATTAAAGTAAAGGGAAGAACTCTGATTCAGCCACTTGTAGGCAGAAAAGTGTTTCCACTGATGGTTGTGTTTTTAACATTTCAGTATGTTATGTCCCAGATCTGATACTAGAGGGAAGTAAAAAGAAAACTACATGAAAGTGAGTTTGTGATGTTGCAGAGCTCTATGTGCCGACTGCTGAGAAGAAACGCGGATACTCTTGTGTTCTCTGCAGTTTTTATCTTGGAGATGTAGAGATATGACTTACAAACTCAAAACACGGCAAACTCCTCAACTAGCTGTAAGAAGAAAATTTGCTGCCCATAACACCCAATACAAAAATCTCTAATCTATTTTACCCTGACAGCAAGAACCCGCCCAGAACTCCTCCTTATCCTAAAAGAGCAAAATCACAGCAGTTTTTAGCCTCAGACTTGATGTTAGAGAAGAGCAAAAAAATTGCACAATTAACTCAACAAAAGGAAAATAAAGCCGCTGTGCTTTCCACTATCGTACCGTCTCTTTTCATAAAGGTTTGTTTGAAAAGATTTCCATAAACTAACACTGCTTCATCATTTGTTTAAAAACAGCAGCACAACTCCAAAATGATGTTAACACATCTACTGGACTGTGAAATGTAGAAGATTTAGGGAAAGGATTATATTACATCAGGGTTAGTAATTCTTTGTGTCCATCATTATGCTTTTATATTGAAAAGGTCCTTATGAGTCACACTGTAGGCGGTTTACTCTCGAGGGAGGAAGGATTTAGGATTCATCTACAGGAATCCGCAGAAAAAGAAAATCATATCTATAAAAAAATTAAACTGAGTTCTTTAAGTTTGTCATTTCGTTATGACCCAGTTATTTAATAGTTTTAAGTGTGAGAGAGGTCAGCTATTCTATTCCTGATTTCCTTATCCAAATCTCCTCCCTCCAACACTATAAACAGCCCAGCTTTCCATCCTTAAAAAGAAACATTTTATGTTGGTAATGTTATGATGAATCATCTCGTGTATCTCTTTTGGTAGAAACATTGTATGAAGATGATTGTTGCAAATGAATATCCAGCTGAGTGGACATAATGTATGTTGTCAGCAGAGGAAAAAGGTGAACTTTTCCACTTCTGATAATCATTCCCACAAGATGTAAAATCAGCTTTCTCGAGTCCCAGCCAATCACTGTTTAAATCACTTTAAACGCTCTCCTTTGTGATGTACCTTTTCAAGGCTCGTTGTGTGGTTTTATGTGTTGTTGCATATTTTACAGCATTAGGATCTTTGGGAAATTATGACCACACAGCCTCAGGTCAATGACGTTGGTAATTTTTCCTTTTTAATTATTTTTTCCCTTATTTGATCTGGATTTGTGAGAAGCTTTAGCCTCCACATGGCTGTCTATGAATGTTTTAATGTTGCTTTTTATACTTTTCCGCCTGCATTTCCCCTCCCCCCTCAAAAAAACCAAACTGTTTATACACCTGGATTATAAACAGTGCAGCTCTGGCACAAACACTGGTTTTATATCATACTCCATTCTTCTCTGGAGAGGGAGCTCTTTTTTTGTTCATATGTTTCTTTTCAAGCAATTTGTTTGTCTTTAGTAATCGGTATGAAAGAATAAGTCGTGTTAGTGGCGATGCTCGTAAATTCATGGGGATGTTTTGCTGTCTTTATTCAAAAGTGTGGTCCGTCAGTTTGAGAAACTTTTCTGGCGGCAGATTAAGAGCCCCATCATATGTTAGAGAAAAGTAGGAAGAGTCACACACTGATGGGCTCAAATTAGTCATAATATATTCATTAAAACATCTGTTTTAATTCTCTGAGAGTGATGATTTGTCATGAGCAACAAGGACAATATTACTCCAGACTGAGTTATGTTTTCGCAGCCATCTCCAGAGTGCCTAACTGGATTGATTTATTTCTTTTTATCACTTGTTTATTTACAGAAGCAATCATTTGTTCACGATGTCAGAGAGTTAGGGATTGGTAGGCACTAGTGGTGCAACGGATCACTGTTGATCCGTAATCCGAACCGATCCCACTCCACGGTTCGGCGCGCACGTGATCCGAAGATTCGAAAAAGAAGAAAAAAGTATGTGTATGGTGTGCGTGGTCAGTCTGTCAAGCCATAGTTATGGCCAGCGCTAGCGGTCCAGGTGGAGAAGCAGAGGAGTTTGCGGCGTTTAAGCAGCCCTTTGCTGCCCAGTCCGTCCAGGATAAAGCTATTACAAAAGCTACTGGGGTGTTTAGCTGCAGACGTGAGGCCGTATTCCATTGTGCAAAACAAGGGGTTTAAACTGTGATGAACGTGCTTGAGCCACGCTATGATATCCTGTTGCGCATCCACTTCAGTGACAAGATTGTTCCAAGCATGTATGAACAGGAAAAGTCTAAAGTTATGGCTGAACTGTCCCAGGTGTCTTCTGTTGCCCTAACTACAAATGGGTGGATCTCCAGGGCAACGGCAAGCTTCGTGAGCTTAATTAGTTTTTATATAATTGCGTGGAATGAGTCTTGAGTTGAATGTTTTTTAATAGGCAAAAAATACTTAAATAAGTAAATTGCGCGTTAAATTTGTCTTTTTGGGTTGTTTTTTTTTGTTTGTTTTGCTGATCCTAAAATTGAGCCGATCCGTGACTTAAAACCATGATCCGATCCGAACCGTGAGATTTTGGATCCGTTGCACCACTAGTAGGCACTGGACTGAACTTATGTAGATCTATTGTTTTGCATGTGTAATTAACACGAGGGCTTTCGGTGCCTCATATAATAATATTTAACCTTATACAGTCATATTTAGAGTGATGCACTGAGGAGGACAACACTGTCTTCCTAGAAATAGGGGATCAGGACCCCCAGGTCCCACCTTTGATTTTCACCTGAGGTCACAGCAGATTCATGCATCACTTTGGGAAAGCAAAATGAAAGAGTAAAGGTGAAGCTGGAGCCCAGAAAAACTCTGCAGGCAGCAGTAATTCTAAATATCTGAGGTGCAGTTTAAAAGTAGAGCAGCAGCTTTCAGGGAGACTGTTACATGATCTGAAAATGAGAATTCATGCTCAGGCTGTTGAATAAAGGCAGTAACGTTCCCCGTGCTTCAGGCTTTGTTGTTCTTGTCACATTTGGCCAAAGTTTTGGTTTTTGTCTGATTTAAATCGAAGGAGGTGAGTTCACACTGCGAACCACATGACTGAGTCTGTTATCTGAGAGATAACAGTCACTCACTCCATCTACAGCTACTGCTGTATTATAGTAATAATGATGAAGTTCTGCAGTGTTTAGTAAAGTTTTAAATTTGGTTCTTATTTATAGGGTTAAATACATTAGTGCTCCGTAACTTGATCTGGATCAACTGTATAAATATTTCTGGAAATGTTTATAATTTTACTGTAATAATAAAAAATGCAGGGAAACATGATTTAATGAAAGGACTCAAATAGAATCGAGTAGAGTTGAAACAATTTAAATGACATTAGGTGTAAAATAAGTAAGGTTTCATTCCACATCAACATCTGTATTTGTCAGTTATCGTAATTATCAATAAAATCTGTAAACAGGTAGGACAAAGAAATGTTGGCCTCAGAAAGGCTGAAGCAACTGTTGGGCTTAAAATACAGTGGCTCCTACATTTCCCACAATGCACCAGAAGTTTTCTTTGACTTTGACCTGTAAACCGGAGCCTTTAACCCTTAACCCCTTATTTTAGGGACTAAAATGACCAAGGAGTGAAATTATATTTTATAAAGCAGACGTCTTTAAAATGACTGCTGTTGTTTCTCATACTTCAATCCAAGTAGAAGAAAAACTTAAATGATATAAACATACTGTGTTACATAATTCATTCAAAAATACCTCGACAAACCAAATCTAGATGATCTGGTGACTCTGTAATACTCTGAGATCAACACAAACTGTAATGAAGTCTTCTTTACAAACATCTGGTTTGTAGAGATTCAGTGATTGGAAATCACTGAATCTCTTTGCATTTCTTTTCACTGGAAGTGAAAAGAAATGCAAAAAAAAGGCTTCAATGTTAAAGAAACGTAATATTTCACACAATTCCCCATCGTCCACGCCACACCAACGCACCAGTTACTGTAAATGACTACAGAAAGCTGTAGAAGCAGCAGATTGATAAATATGAACTTAATTTTGTGGCTCGCAGTGTGATTGCACCTTAAAGTCTAATCACGTAACCATACAGTAAACACGCTTGTAGTAATCAGTAGCTGTGCTCTTAAGTCACTTATTTAAATGAACCTTTTATTTAATTCTCTATTCAAAAAAGCAGAAGCCCCAGAGTGGATTTAACAATTTTCGTTCACCTCCATCTCCAGCTAGTCTCCCACCCCTAATCTTAATTCATCTGACGTCATGCCTGAATGGCCTTTTTAACTGGTCACATGAGTAGTGATGTAAACCTGCACTGTTTTCCTGCCGTAGCTTAATTTCATCGAGACGTGGATCATACGTGATAGTGCTAATGTCGTCACACGGGTGACCGTTTTTCATGCTTTTATTACTGCAGTTTTTGTTTTATGAATATTTTGATTGGTTCTGTTTGTGTTACAGCAAGGGGCAAGCAACGCTGAGAAATTTGATTATGTGAGTACTATTGGGAAGATTTATTGAATATTTAAATATTGACTGAAGGAGAAGTTTCCAAACTGAAGTTATATTAAAAAAAATGTCAGGGCTACATTATTCTTGGAATTATACCTTTTTCTTCAACACTTACACTTTAAAATTGTTTTTATTCTCAAAAATTTGATTCTAATTGTGAATATTTCTACTTTATTTTCAATTTTATTCTTGAAATTTTAGCTTCATACTCAAAATTTCATTGACATTTGTCAAATTTGAATTTTATTTTTATATATTGTTGTTTTATACGACATTATTCATTAAACATTTTTATTTAATTAACTTTTCTGTTGTCTTTAGTCTTGACATAGTTTTTACTTTAATCATAACGTTTTTACTTTGTAGTCTCAAAAGTTTGGTTTAAATCTTAATATTTAATATTCTTAATATGTAGACTATTTAAAATTACAATTATTATTATTTTTTGAATACTTTGAATATCCCTTTGTCTTTCAAATGTAATCTTTAAACTGTAAAGGATGATTTTATTGTGAAAGTTTTACTTTTTTAAGTATTATTTTAGTTGTATAATTTCAGTATTATATTCCAAATTGCAATATTTTGGTTAAAATTTAGATTTAAGTTTATGATTTTGTACTAAAATTATAAGTTTATTTTGGATATTTTAATTGTATTCTTGTAATTTCATGTATAACTGATGAAGTTACAACAATGATTTTCTACCCAAATTTGTATATTTGTTTTCTTAAATTGAGTGTTAATGTCAGCAATTGTGACTTATTTGTAGAAGTTTCAGTTTTATTCTTTCAATTTTAACTTTAGCGTCAGCTGCTCTGCATTATCATTATTATTATTATTTTTTATATGTATGCTCAGTGTCCTTGAGCCTTCTTCGTAGTCTTGTGTTTGTGTTTACTCTGAATCTGCTCTTCTGCTCTGCAGGTCATGAACTTCATGAACAAGCTGGCAGGAAACGAGTATGTGGGCTTCAGCAATGCCACGTGAGTGCAGCAGAGTTAGAAATACAACAGATTTTCCATGTTTAGATGAAATGAAGCACTTTAATGTCTTTGACAGATTTCTTGTTTACAAAACAGTTCTGCATCTCTGAGGTGGATCTCAGGTCTCGCAGCAACTTCCTGGTTCAGTTTGAGTTCATGTAACAGGATCTGAGTCGCATCATGAAATAAACGTCTCTCCTCTCTCTGTGTGGCTCAGTTTCCAGTCAGAGCGTGAGTCTGGAGACAGAAACTTCGCCATTGGCTACTACCTGAAGGAGAAGAAGGTGAGATTAGATGCTGCTGACAACTGAGACGGGATTTTGTTGTTTAAAAGGAAGCTTTTCTTCCTTTTGTGAACACACTATATTTGTGATTTCATTCTTAGCTTTTGTATTTTGAATTTTATTTTTGGTATTTCTGCATAAATATTAGGATTTCTGTTCCAGTAATTAATCAGTTTATCACCAGGTTTATCCTTTGATGTCTCTTGGTTTTCCTTTTTTCTGTTTGAAGAAAAGCAGCAGGTGTGTTACGAGTTCCCATTTTAAAGTGTTTTTATCTTTATCAGTGTTTTCCAGAGGGGACGGACATGACGTCCATCCTGGACTTCTACTTCCAGGTGAGTAGAGCTCATCCTGATGCAGAGGAATCACTAATGGGACAGGATTTTTGTTTGTCATTGTGATCCAATCATTCACGAATCTTTGTTTCTCAATCAGTTGTGCTCCATCGAGGTGACCTGTGAGAGTGCCAGCGTTATGGCGGCAACTCTGGCCAACGGCGGTTTCTGTCCAATCACGGGCGAGCGTGTGCTGAGCCCTGAGTCTGTGCGAAACACACTGAGTCTGATGCACTCCTGCGGCATGTATGACTTCTCGGGACAGTTTGCTTTTCACGTCAGTATCTCCTCGTCCTGATCTCATGTTCAACCTGCTACCATCTCCCTGTTTTCCCGTTTTGCACCAGAACTTTAAAACTCTGCAATCTACAATTGCAGGGTTTCCTATAACTTAGACAATTGAAAATACAGTGCTCTACTGTAATGGGGTTTTTTTGGGGGGGGGGGTGTTGGGATCTGTTGGTTACTTTAAGAAAGATGTGAGCCACACTTTTAACAGGTAATCTCACATCACACATTCTCTCTTTCTGCCTCAGGTTGGTCTGCCGGCTAAATCGGGTGTGGCTGGCGGGATCCTGCTGGTCGTTCCCAACGTGATGGGCATCATGTGTTGGTCTCCTCCGCTCGACAAGCTGGGCAACAGCGTCAGAGGCATCCAGTTCTGCACGGTAACATCATCTTTAAAGTCATTTCCTGGACTATGCTTGAGTAGCTTTGCATGATTCAAAATGGTAAATGGCCTGCATTTGTATGGCGCTTTTCTAGTCCTTAAGGACCCCAAAGCGCTTCATACTACATTCAGTCATTCACCCATTCACACACACATTCACACACTGGCGATAGCAAGCTACATTGTAGCCACAGCTGCCCTGGGGCGCACTGACAGAGGCGAGGCTGCCGGACACAGACGCCACCGGGCCCTCTGACCACCACCAGTAGTTCAAAGTTCAAAATAATCCTTTATCTCCTTTATCTCACCCTAAGATACTTTTATTATTCTTTTTTAATATTTGGGTCATGTTTTCTCCTTTTAGGATTTGGTTTCCCTGTGTAACTTCCACAACTATGACAACCTGAGGCACTTTGCAAAGAAGCTGGATCCTCGCAGGGAGGGAGGAGACCAGAGGGTGAGCGCCAGCACCATCAGCCTTCATCCTTCTCCATTTTCACAACCTCGACTATTTTGACCTTTACACGCTGTAAATGTCCTTCTGCTGGAGTGCGGTGTTCAAATCCTGAATGTTTGATGCATATTTTGAGCCATTAAAGCTGCTGTTAGCTTGTGTGCTGTGATCTTCTTCACAGTGAGTAATGTCTGAGTTACATTACTGTGGGGTTCAGATTGAAAAAGACTGATCAGAAATCACCAGACATCACTACCCAGACTGCACTGCAACATAACTAACATAAGTGGAAGTTCCTTTTAACGCACCAACAGAGATCATTGATGTAATTATTTTTGATTATTTTCTGCGGTTTAGAGCAGTTTGTGTTGATTTTGACTCTAAGTGTCACCATAAAAGGCAGATTACCCTCCTTGTTTGTGGAAGCTTAATCCACAGCGCCATCTGCTGGAAGATTACTGCATCAGCTGTGTTATTTTCCAGCTTTACACAACCTGATCATTGGTGTCTTTCACTGTACATTAAACCACATGAAAAACAACAAATATTAGATTTTTCAGTTCTACCATATTTCAAAAACACAGTAACACTAAGCTATGATGCATTATTATAGCATCACGGTCTCTGCTTTGTTTTCTCGTGTTTCAGGTGAAGTCTGTGATCAACCTGCTGTTTGCTGCTTACACAGGAGACGTGTCAGCTCTCAGGAGGTACGCCAGCTCTCAGGTTTAGTGTCAGTAACACTCAGGACCGTTGGACAGCACGGAGACATTCATTTGATTTTAATTTCATGTATGATTTTTGGCCACCACACACAGATAACAGGCAGGTACACAAACCTCCGTGTAGACTTGAGCGCTCACCATCTGATGACAGCATCCACTTGGGCCCAGGCACACCAATTGGATTATTTGACTTGTTGGTTTGGGGGGAAAAAACTGCACTAAAACTTGGCACCAATTTAAATCAGCAGGGTCCTGCTCTCATCTTTACATTCTGCTACGTTCCTGTAAGTTAATATTTCTAAATTGATCTTTGCAGGCTAATAATATAAAGTCTTTCATTCCATTCATTGGGTTCCCACGATGGATGTGAATAAAACTACTCGACGGTTCCTCTTTTTCTGCTGTGATGTTCTGCAAACACTGCAGGGTTTTGACACTTTGGAGGGGGATAATGTATCTTTAGTAAACTGATCATTTTCCTGAAACTAGCGAATCATGTTTACTGGATAGTTGTTTATGGCCAAGTGGAAAGTGATTGGTTGATTTCAGTCCATTTCAGTTGAGAGCTGGATGGATACAGCCTCGCTTTTATGGGACATCTGAACTGATGTTGAACAGATCGCGTTAGAAATCATTGCAATGTTTTTATTATTTAACATCACTCGCATTAAATCGGAACTGCTTAGTGGGAGTAGCCCACACCATCTATTGTATCCACATTTATTTTTTGTTGTGTGCCTGTCTGTCTTCAGACTAGTCCTGTAAACTTCAAGCTGCTCAGTGCAGGGGAAGGCTGTGGTTAGCACATGGGGACACACCATCGGTACTGATTTAGGGACCGCTTAAATTAGCTCTTTGCATTTTCATTGGCAGAGCCTGCATTTTAAATATCATTCAGTAATAGTCATGCAGTTGTGGGAAGCCAATATCAGGGAGTTTGCAAAAAGGGAAAGACATCTTTGCCTGTTTTGAGTGTCTTCTGAACAGCTGAGGTGCAGCATGTCCACCAAGGAAAAGGAGGTAGAGGTCTGATATGAAGATGTCAGCCACTAGATGGCTTTTCCCCCCCAGTTTAGTCTGCAAACATCACTTCTAGTCTTTAGGTAATTTACCTTCAGCACCATCGCAAAGAGCTTGAAACTTAAAGAAACCCACATGAACCAAGTCCAAGTTAGTCTGGTTGTTTCCACATGGCTCTCACTCCTTCCTTCCTGCTCGGCTGTTCTGTCTTTGTGCAGGTTTGCGCTGTCCTCCATGGACATGGAGCAGAGGGACTACGACTCAAGGACAGCGCTGCACGTGGCCGCCGCTGAAGGTGAAATGCGTACAGTCAGGTTGTCGTCATGGCAATTACTCTGTTCGGTCAGCTGACCCGATGTTTGTGTGTTTCAGGACATGCTGAGGTGGTCCGCTTCCTGCTGGAGGCCTGCAAGGTCAACCCAGTTCCCAAAGACAGGTAACAGAGACCACACTTTACTTTAGTTATCTTTTTAATAAATACATGTAAAAAAAAAAAACCTTATCTAGATAGATAGAGATGGAGGGAATTTCTTTGAGCCAGATGTGTTAAATGAAAGAGGTGGATTTGTGTTTAAAGTTCTTCGTGTCTGGTGCAGGTGGGGGAACACGCCGATGGATGAGGCCGTGCACTTCGGCCACCATGACGTCGTCACCATCCTCCGCGATTACCACAATCAGTACACCCATCAGGAAGGCAGCACGGCCAAGAAGAACGAAGAGAACCTGGACGGGCTGCTGTGATGGAGAATGCGCTGCTCAGGCGTGTGAGGCCGGGCGCTTGCCTCCGCCGGCGAGGGGAAGAGATCAGGCGGTGCTTTAGACAAAAAACTGGAAAGATCGCAAGTAGACTCATCGCTGAAATAACTGAAAACAAACCTTTACAGTATCTGTTAGCGCAGCAGCTGCCTCCCTCCGAGTGTAAATGCTCGTCATCATGTTCTCTTTAGGTGTCGTTGGGTTTTTGTATCGCGTTTGTGTACTCTGAGTGTGGAAGTACTCTTATTTTCCGTGTTTCAGCTTTTCCGTTGACGGTTCTTTTTATTCTGAACATCAGCAACAGGAAGCAGCAGCAGTATAAAACCTTTGTTATGGAATGTAACTCCTCCCCCCCAAACACTTTTTGATGTGCGTTTGTGATAATCGATGTAAGATAAACTGTACATTACTGTAGTGTTTGTGTATATTAACCGAGGACGGCGAGTCTCTGTAAATAGGTGTAAAGATGTGTAGTCGATCGGTCTCGTGTGGTGATGGGTTCAGATTTGATGACAGTGTGTGTTTCAGTCAAACTTTTGGATAGTATTTGAACCATAAAATTATTCTTCTTATTTTTTTTCGTAAGCAGTTTTTTAATGTGGCGACAGATGAGTTAAAGGGTTTTTTGTTTTTATTGTTGTTGTTTTTCCACTAAAACTGGAATTTTCACCCTTCTTTTCTTTTATTTACTTTAGCAAGCCAGCCAAAGTTCAGTTCCTACTTCGTCTCCTGACCATTGAAAGCGTTTCTGCATATCAGACGCGACACTGCCAGGGCTCCTGCAGGGAGAGTGAATGACTGTAAACATGCAAGAAAATGTTTTTCTTACACTTTGTCTTAGTTTAAAGAAGTCACAGCAGAAAATGGATGCACTCAGCAATGGAGATATTTCAATACTTTTATTTTGAAAGTCTGTCTAGTGTATTTCAGTATGTGGCATAAACAGTGAGTTGATTGGTCCCTGTGAGTTGCTTTAAAGTAACTAAGGAGTACTGTGAAAGTTGCTACTACTACTCTTACTATT